TTAGGGATACTTCTTGTAACTTGAGTTTTTAATACTGTTTGTATGAGATATAATGTCAATTTGGGTTTAAATCAACATTTTAACAAGACAATGTCATGGTCCACAGATCTTTTCAGTTAATGTTCATTGAATTTCAGTACTCCCAGTTATTTACATGTTATATTCCACCTGCTTCTGAGAAAGATATTTCATCTGAGAACATGATTAGAGCATCATACACTAAAAGTAGTATGTAATGAAAAAATCCTATTGATCTTCCTTTGCCTAAGGAAAGGTAAGAATACAAGATACATGCTACTAGCCTAGGACAACTTTTATTCTTTAGGATGAGACCATAACTAATCTGCAGTGCAGAGATAGTATTTTAGAGAACAAGCATGGCATTTGGAAAACCAGACATGGAGTCATAGAGAAGGATAAATAGCTTATTCAGCCACAGATGATCAGACTCTTCCAGATCAGCAAGCTGCTCGTTCCTTCTTCAAGCCTACTTATTGCAGGAGTAAAGGTTCAAAGCTCTTCTCTCCCTTCTTCGCTTATAGTACTTACTGCTCATCTGGGTACTCAGTTATTACACACAGCCATTTAGTTATTTACTGGACTACTCCAGTTTGTTTCCTGATCTTTTTATCTACTTGTTAATTATGTGACAAAAAATTACTCACATAGCCCAAGAAAAATTAATTCCCCCACTAACAGTCTATTACTGTCTTGTAAAAAGACTGATATAATACCTGAAATATTTAGATATTGTAAAACAATTTGTCTACTATGTGTAAGTGTATTTTTTCACTTATTATTTATCCTTTAAAACAGGTGAATATACCAGTTAAGCTGAGCTTCAAGTCTAAGCATAAACCGTAGAAATTAGTCCTAAGAGCTGTTTAGCTTTGTATTTTGCATTAAAAACAAAAAAAAGCAACAGTTGGTGCTGAGAGAAAACTGTAAAAGAAGAACAAGAAAAATTCCAGCCATAGTCAATTTGTGATTCTGATGAGTTCCTGATGCAAATCTTGAATCTCATAGGACTTGATGTATTTTTATTCCACAAAATTGTCAAACATTTCTATGAACTCATATGAGCTTTTTTTTACCTCAGCTTCTTGGTACAAGCTGTTCCGTGGTGCAACTGTGTGTTGTCTAAATAATTGCCTACTTTTCTTTATTTTCAACCTACCACCTACTTGACCCCTAGTTCTGTACTGGAAGAGACAGTGAATGATTGTTACCTATCCACCCTATTCATCCCATTTCTGGCTTCAGGGACCTCTGCAAGGTCTTCTCTAACAGAGAGTAATAGGAAAATATGTTTCTAATAAAATGAAATTAATTCTAGAAAAAATAGAGAAGTGCTTAAAGTGACTAAAAGTCATAGTACTGATGAAACCCAGATAAATTGATTTCTCCTTGTAAACTACTTTTCTTTCATCCTTTCCTTACCTTTTTTTTTTTTTTTTTTTTTGGCTTGGTGACATTTTGCTGAACAAACTAGAATGAGACTAATTGCTGCTGCTTGTATGATGTTACGCTGGAACTTCAGTAAAATTACTTCTGTTAGAGTATATTGTGCAGTTATATGCACTTTTTACCTCTCTTCTTGCAAAAGAGTGTTCTTAGAATTTTAATACCCAGAAAAGATCGGAGACTAGTTTTTCTGTTTTAGATTAGACATCCATATTAACAGAGTGCCCTTCACGCCATGCTAGAGCCCAAGATTGCCACTAAATATTACAAAACAGTGTAATCTGCTATCAAAAGTAGCTCCTGCAGCTGCACAAATTTATCTTGGAGGTCTCTCATTCTAATCCAATGCTTGTTAGAACTGATGATGCCTCAGAGAGCCTGGTAGGGCTGCAGGCTGTTACAGTGAAAATATGAGTGGTTTTGAGGTTAGAGAAATGATTCTGTTCCCTGTATCAAACATCAGTTACAATTGCATAGTATTTTAAGTATGGTGTGGTTTTAGTCGGGAAGGAGTTAACTTTCTAATGGCTAATTTTTCTGAATACCATAGTAGGACTGCAGAAATTCATATATGTGCATAATCTGAAATTCTATTGCTTTGGGGCATTTCCTTGAACAGAATTTATCTTTTTACCAACTACTCAAAAATTTACATTATAGGTCTTTAAGAACAAAGACACAGTACTGTTCTTCCTGTGTAGGCTCAAATCTTGGGAATATAACAAATTGAATGAGTCAATTTAAAACTTAATAATATTAATATGGTTAACCGTTAAGGTTCACTGCTCCTTTTCTTAGGAGTGCTGCTTAGCATAAGGACTGTTCTGTACTTGTCTGGTACTCCGTGTTCACACAGTCATTGGTCTGTGCAGTTTCATTGCTGGGCAGAAAGGGCTGACACCCTTTCTGCAGAAAGAATGGCTGAAAGCACGCAGCTAACAAAAAACACAGAACAAAGGGGATACGCTCAGCAAGATATTAATCCAATTTATCTGCACTGACACGTAGGCAAGATATGAATCTTGGATTCAAAAAATTAAGGTTGTTCTTGAGCCAATAAACTTTGCCTTCTTAATTCTCTTTCAGCAGATTTCAATAACAGGATTTTGAATGAGCTCCAGTAAGAATGGGAACACAACTACATCTGTCATCACTGTAGAGTAATTAAGACTGCTCACACTGTCTAACTAAAACTGTGTTTCAGGGTCAGTGGGGATTTAAACATTTATAGTCTTAAATTAAAATCAGGAAAACACAAATTATACACTGCCATTCAAATTTTTCATCACAGATCAATTTACTGCACGTAACAGTTTAAAGCCCACTCTTGACGGATGCTTCAGCTGCAGCCAATGAGCAAGGGCTGAGATCCTTATTTAAACAAAACTTGATGTAGGTAATCTCCTTTTGAACTAAATGTGGAAACTGATTTCTGACTGTGAAACTGAGAAGAAAGTCAGACCTGTTTTTAAGAAAGCTCTTCAATTCTCAGAAATGAGATCTGTGGTATTTGTGAAGTATATGAGAGGATAAAGGTGAAAGCTCCTTATTGTATTCGGTGTTTGGAATGGGCCTGTTTTTCTCAATACTTTGCTGTGCCATTGGAAGAAGTCAGTCTTCTTTATGTTTTCTTATGTAAAGAAACAACCTTAAAAGATTGGTAATCTGGAATGGACCTAAAGAGGTATTGCAAGTTTGACTTTCTTGTCTGCAATTTTAAAGCCCTCAACCAAGAAGCATAAACCTATTTTTCCAGCAGAGGTCTGTTTCCCTTTAATTCTCTTCTTTACACCCGTGTCCACCCGTCTTTGCAGGGAACAGGATTATGGATGATATTCCTGATCTGAATTTTGCTTTAGTAATAATAATAATAATAATCCCGAGTTTCACCTCCAGTGAATTCACATGCTTGTTGTAGATGTTCTTTCACGATCATATACCACTGTCACCAGTTCCAGGATGCTCACTTCTAGTCAACCCCTACGGCAGAGATCAAAACACTGATCTTTGGCTCCACCTTGTGATCTCCCTGACGAGACTAGCAAAGATGAAATGAGGGAATCCTCAATCCTGATTTTGATCTTGGTCTTACTTTGATCTCTCTGCCCATATAGAAAATGGAAAAGCCCAGGCAGTTAGATTGTTTAGGTCAAAATACTGACTTCAGAAGAAGCAATAGGGTTTAAAAGTGTAACTAAATAAACATTTGTAGCCTCAGAAGTGTGAAATAAACTATCCAAAAGACCAAAACAAAATATATAGTGCTACAAAGAAGTTGGTGGGCAATCTGGGAGCTATGATCTGAGTTTAAGAAGTTTTGGTAAAGTGCTAATGCTAGTATACATAAAATAGGACACAAAGTTGCCTTCTTTGACAAAGACATTGACATGAGAACTAGTGGAAAGTATACTCAGCATTTACTTTACTGCATAACACACCAATATTCTTGCCTTCTGTCTGAACATCTGCCCATCACCTTTCCATGAAAACAACTGATATCAGAACTGACTACTCAGCTCTTGATTCCTAACAGGACAAAAACAAACAAGCATTGAGGTCAGTTTCTGCTTTGTGGGAACATGCTGTGGCCAAAAAGAATTTGAAATCATTTGCATTTTTAAAGCTTGAGTGAGTACCAGAGCATAAAGCTGATAGGTAAGCTGGGCCCCTGAAAGTACTTCACTTTCAGATTTCAGAACAGTTACTGCCATCCATAAAGTACAGAACTGTGGAAGATAATCTCCTCAACTGAAAAAAGGTCAGACTATAAAACTTTTACTTGCCATTTTCCAGAAGAAATTCATCACATTAACTCATGAAATGTATAAATTTTGCTTCCCTGAATCTTTAGAGTTTATTTATTAATTTTATGATGTTAATAGAATATAGAACTAAAAATATCTTAAATCTTTCAATCTCCAATCTACACATGGCATGTGAAAAATATTACTTCTTGGATTATTTATATATTTGTACTGCTGTAATAACTACCAGAAAAGCAGTGCACTGAAGTGGACAATGTAGCTCACAATTGCCATGTGAGCGTATTCATTGTGCTGCTTTGATACCACAGTTGTAAATAGATAGAAGTATAGAGGGGTCTGATCAATGTTATTATTAGTTTGGCCAGTTTCACTATCTTAAGTACAATGATAATTTACAATCAAATCCTGTTAGTGCACAGAGACGTTCAAAATTAATGTTAAAATGTTGCTGAATTTCTAATATGTAGGCTAAGTGTTACTTACATTGCCAGATCATATTATGTTATAAAATAAAGTGGTCTATCTCCTTGTGCTAGAAGTTTCTCAAAATGGAAAAAAAGTAATAAGGAAGCAAAGAAGAAAAAAAAAGAGAAAGTGAATTACAGTTACTTCTAAAAATTAGTATTTTCAACTTCTAAAAATAGTCAAACATGGCTACAAATCTAATTTAAAAGTAAAAGTAACCATATACAGGAAATTATTTATAGTATGGCTTATAATTAGAAGATGAAGGTATGTATTATGTCAATAATTATGTCTTCTTTCTTGTAGATGAAAGTGTTCATTATTTTGGGAATTTCAGCAGCTATAGCCTTCACAGCTGTTTTCTTTTCTTTTCTTCAGAGAGGCAAAGATATCATCTTTGGTAAGTAACAGAAAAAATACATGATATTTTCTTTTGTCGGCGATTACTGTTAAGCTGAAAATACACTGGCACTGCAGACGGTTTAGCAATGGCAGTTTAGCTTTAATGTCTTTTTATGTGCAAAATACACTATCTGCCTTCTGCAAGAATTATTCCATGGGTGTTTTCTTTTAAAATGCAGCTTCATAAATTTACAAAGGAAAACTTTGTATGAGTAACTTATCTCAATTATGTATTCTTTGACTACGAGTGATTTTACTTTGTTAGTGACATTCATATGTCAGATGACATGTTTACAAGCATGTTTGCTGGATTTCTTTCCCAGTCTGCCAGTCACTCCATTTAGTCATCCTGGGCTAGAGTTAGTTGCCATAGGACGTCCCAGCTGGCACCCTGTTGCTGGCCCACAAGGATGCACCTCTTCTGTGGGTCTGTTCTTGGCAGATCCTCTACTTAGAGCTTCCATATTAATTGTTTGGAAAGACATGGTTTAAGATGAGGTTGTATTGTATGTTAGTTAATAGAAAATTAATTATATGTGGACTGTAAGTAAATGGACTTAGAGATGGAACAGATGGACTGTATATGGACTTACAGATGGACTTAGAGATGAACAGATGGACTGTATATGATTCTTTTCTATAGTAAGTGCTTTTCGGTCTGATGGGAACAATATAAAATAATGTTTGTTACCAGAAAAACCACATTTTTTAAAATAATGCATTGGTACCAACATCATACTTCTCAGTAGAAAAGGAAGAGAGATAATGGAATTCAGGTATACGAGGTGGATCTTCTCTTCTAGATCAGAGTCTGAATCAATACCCCATGATAAACAATACTGTGAACATCATATATTTCTCAAAGGTAAACACCCTAAAAGTAATTAAAAAATTATACAATATTAAATTATAAAATAGTTAGTTTTGCATGGCCTATAAAGATCATTCTAGGTTTTCAGATTGTAAAAAACATTTTCAGATGTAAGAGAAACCTGAATTATAACACTAAACGAATCATCGAATATTTTATCATATATAGGTAGAAAAGAGAAATAGCTACTGCTATAATTAGAGTCTGAGAGGATCTTTAGTCAAGTGAAGTAAAATTTTGCCTAGGAAAGATTACTCCTCATCACACACTATTCTCCTTCTGGCTGAGCACCCTATAAAAAAATAGATCACAGAAATAGCACAACATGGACTACAGTTAAGATATGTCACCTAAAATTACAGTGTACATAAATGATGAGCAATTGTACATAAATAATTCTTAGCAAACTATTACTATTCATGATCCATTTTCTAAGAAAAAAAAGGATCTAACAAAATATAAATGGGAATTAAACCACTGATTCATTTAATATAAAGCTAGATCTACACAAAAGAGGAATAATCTGTGTTCCATGACAGCACTACACGAAATAGCAGAGCTGCGTATGAAGCCTAAGGAGCATAATTGCATACACAGAACACAAGATGTTTCAGCTGGACCTGTTAGGTTTGGTGCTACATTACGTGTGCACAGCTGCATTTATACTGGAATAAGCAGAAGGAAAGTCTGACTCTTCAAGCCTTATAAATTAGGGAAGAATTGATTTAACACCCCTGTATTATGTTTCAGAAAGTCAGAAGCCATGACATTAGTTTCAGGCACATTAAAATATTGAGATTATTTTAATGGAGAAAAAATTACACATACCATAATATTACAAACATGTATATTTTGTAATTGTAAATATTTGAATAAATATGTTGTTCAATAACACATTCATCTTTCTTTCCTTTTATTTTTTTTCCTTGTTGAGAAGAAACTGAAGATAACTGCATTACTGAGGCTATCCGGAAGGGCTCTAATCTAGTAGACTATGCTGCACATTATACACTGAAAAGGTAAGAAAGAAGTGAAGGATCTATTCAGCAAAAAACTTTCATAACAGAGAAGTGTGAGAATAGTCTGTTTCTTTGAGAAAACATAAAATGATAGATTATGTTTATGATTATCTGAACCAATATAACGTGCGTTATCACCATATGAGTTGCTGTCTTAAAGTGTGAGAAAAATAAGAAATATGAAAATAAAAAGGAATGGCTTTTGTTATCTAAGTAACGCACCACATTCCATTAACATGGGGCTCAAAAATTGTAATTTTATGGACATTACATATTTTTGAACATTAATTATGCTTTTTCTGGTGGAAAGTGAGATGGGAACAACTCCTATGGCATCAGTGTTAAAATCCTATTGCTTTAAGTGGGACTGTTGAAATTAATTTCTCATAGAATCATAGAATGGTTTGGGTTGGAAGGAAACTTAAAGACCCCCTAGTTCCAAGCCCCCTGCCATGGGCAGGGACACCTTCCACTAGACCAGGTTGCTCAAAGCCTCATCCAGCCTGGCCTTGAACACTTCCAGGGATGGGGCATCCACAGCTTCTCTGGGCAACCTGTTCAGTGCCTCACCACCCTCTCCGTGAAGAATCTTTTCCTGATTTCTGATTTAAATCTCCCTACTTTCCATTTAAACCTGTTACCCCTTGTCCTGTCACTACAGGCCCTTGCAAAAAGTCCCCCCCAGCTTCCTTGTAGCCCCTTCAGGTACTGGAAGGCTGCAATGAGGTCTCCCCGGAGCCTTCTCTTCTCCAGGCTGAACAAGCCCAACTCTCTCAGCCTGTCCCCATAGCAGAGGTGCTCCAGCCCTCTGAGCATCCTCGTGGCTTCCTCTGGACTCGCTCCAAGGGGTCAATATCCTTCTGATGTTGAGGGCTCCACAGCTGGATGCAGCACTCCAGGTGGGGTCTCACCAGAGCAGAGTAGAGGGGCGGAATCCCCTCCCTCGACCTGCTGGCCACACTTCTCTGGATACAGCCCAGGATATGGTTCGCCTTCTGGGCTGCCAGCACACACTGCCGGCTCATGTCCAGCTTTTCCTCCACCAGTACCCCCAAGACCTTCTTCCCCTTCCATTTAAAACATATGTAATAAAAGGATAAGGGAAGGGAAAGAAAATCTTTATCTTGAACTGTGGGTAGTGAAGAACTTAGGGAAAGCTCCTTTGTGCTTGAGTTATGCTATGAGACTGATCCCTTGTTAGGAAACATAGAAGTGCCTCAGGATGAGTAGCCATAAGTCTAAAAAATTCAAACCTACGCTGTGTAGCTCTGACTACACTTACGTGCTGTACAAAATTAATTTCTCTCCAATATTTGGAGCACATCAGCCAAGTTTTACAGGGTGCAGTCACCCCCTTTTTGCTTAGACTTTCTTAAAGGACCGATCTCTGCATTTTGAAAATTAGTCACAATTTGCAGAGCTCTGGGAGAAATAAGTGCTTATATGGACAGAAACTGCCAAGAACTGTCCCTGCTCAGTATGTAGAGATTGAGGTCACTTTTCTTTCATAGTGTTATTATTTTGGTGACAGTGCTGAGGCATTCAAATTTTAAAATGTAGATCTCAACCTTTCAGTGGCTCAGCAGCCTCATGTACCAAATGAAGATACAGATATTTAACTCTCTCACAGGATATTGTGGCAATTATTTGGTCATTATTTGCCCAATATCTTAAAGATGATAAATGCTAAAAGGCATCAGAAGATAAATGCTTAAATATGATTGTTTGAATTCTATTAGGAACAAAACTTGCTCACTTACTCACCCCACGTAAATCACCAGACTGCTAAGCTTCATTCAATATTTTTTATATGTGGATATATAGGTTCTAAATAGTAGTGTTATTCAAAAGTCCTATTATTGGGTTCCCTTTAAAAGCCTTTTAAGCACTGCAAAGTCACAGAATGTCTGGGGTTGAAAGTGACCTCTGGAGGTCATCTGGTCATTTCCCTTTTCTGCTCCCTTCTCATCCCTTCCCCTGTTCTCTCTTCACTCTCCTTTCTTCCCTTTCTCTTTTCTTTACATCTTTTAACAGCAGCAATTGAAAATTAGATCAGTGATTTAAAACTGTTAGGTGTTTGATCTGATAGATATTGTTAGCCACTGGATCTTTCTTAGGCAGAACATTGGTAGTAATAGTGCTCTGAGAACTGGTCATGTCTCTTGCATACATTTGGGGTTAATCCCATGAGGAGCCAAAGGCTTGCACTTTCAGTAGAGCATCAGAAGATGAGCATTAGTGTCACTACTGAGGCGCGTGCTTTCCTTTTCCTGGAATCAGAGCCACAAGTGTCCAATGCCTTCATTAGGAGTATGAGTCTCGTAAAACTATCACTTGTTCTAATGTTAACTGGTGCAAAATACTTGGTCTCTCAATTTACAAATGATCATTACGAGAAGTGAAAATTGTATTTCTATTGTGTGCTTTTATATAATTCACTTCATTGTGGCCCAATTAAGTGCAGCAGTGAGAATTATGCATATCATTAAGAGACTTCTTCCTGTAGGCTTGTAAATGCACTGTACACCTCTTAGACATTAGTCATTTGCCATTTGCAAAGTACAGAGAACTGAACTATTGTCTAATCTGATCATTAGGTTGAGAAGTGAATGTGTTTAAATCCTTAATTAAATACTTACACATTTTCATGTCATTTTAAAGCGACTAAGGCTTCTTTCCATTGTAACTTGAAGAATACTGTATACTTGAATTAAAGCTTTGGTCAGCACAAAGGATAAAAAAAAGAAAGGAACCCATTTGAGCTTCTGGAAGTTATGGAGGTTACTGTGAAAACTCATTTTACTTCAGCTTACACATAATTGAAGAAAACTACAGTGCTATTTAGAAGAGTTCAATGCTGTCTTTGAGACTGAAAAGCCAGTTCTGAGATGAAAATGCAGCTCTTTTTTCAAGTTAGAATAGGGAAACTCCAAGTTGATCCATATACAATTTTTGATCCTGATCTTTACTGAATTCATGATCTAGAACTGCAAACTGAGTCAAAATAACTGGATTTCTCCTGAGACCTCAGCTTGACCTTGAATTGTGATTAAAATGGACAAGGACAATTTCTTCACATCAGCTGTTTAATATCATCACTTAAAATCTTGACTTGCTTGTGTTTTAGCTACTGGAGCAATTGAATGGCAATGCACTAAACATATTGGCTAGAATTGTTTTATTCGTCTAGTTTGTAAAACTTGTCAGGAGTTTCTAAGAAAATGAAACTTTTTAGAAATTACTTCCCAAGTTTTAAGGTCACATGGGTCCCAGAGTGGTCCTCATAGTTTGCTGTGCTGTTCATGATTGTTTCTCCTTGACAAGTGTTTCTCATGGCTGTTTGCTAGTACCTGCCTGCTATTCCAATCAGCTTCTGAATTTTTAGTCTTTAAGAGTAGGTGTTCATGTTTGTCATTAAAATACAAATATTCATACTAGGAATGACTACTAGTAATACCTTAGCATAGATGGAACACGATGGCATCACCATTAAAATGTACTATTTGTATTACGATGGCAATGCCAATAGGAATCTGGGCAGTTTGGCTAGGGCGCTCAGAGCCATAGGGAAGCTGTGCGATTATGACACTTACCCATTGGTATATGGAAATACGTTGTTAATTTACCAGCAAGTGAATTATAACATACATTTTGAAAGTGGTAGTTGGCTTGCAAAAAGAAATTCTAATTCCAATAAATCTTGTTATAATAACAACCAGTACAAATTATCAAACTTGTACTAGCTATAGCTAGTGAATCTCAGCACTGCTGGGAGGGCTTCCCGTTTTGACTGTACATTCTTTTTTATATTCTGCTGATTCTGCTTTTTCTGCGTTTTAACATGGAGACGAAACTAAAGGTAAGTCCAGAATGGGCAAGCTGTGCACTATGATAGCTTTTTGCACTCAGCTGCAAATGATCGTATGTTTCTCCTGTTAGAACTTGGCTACTGACTCAAAAGAACTACTGAACTAGTTATGTATACAGAAGATGAGGATTGTGTTGGTAGGTCAAGTGGGGCTCACTCCCTTGTGCTAGACACTTGATTTAAGTGAGTTTTAAATAAAATATATTTTTAGGCTATAAATAGTTCCTGTACAAAGAATAAATGAGCAGACTAAGGATCTTTTGGATTAATTAAGGACTAAAATAGCATCTAGAAAAACCCTTGGAGTTGTATTTTCTTACTTAATGCTTTTTATGTAAGCATATTTTTAATTTTGCAAACAGATATTTAACTGTTTTGCCCAAATCAAAACTGTTGTTGCTATTTTAAATTTACCTCGTGCTCTAAACAAACCTAAGTGAATATGACAGCACAACTTTTTCATACAAATTGCATATCCAAATAAATCTGTGCTGCAGAGATGCCCTCAGGGATGTCTGTAACCTATGATCATGTCTGGAAAAGGATTAGACCTGGAGTATTTTTCCCTAAGTTACAGGAGTCAGTTTAGGACTTGGGTCCTCCAGCTCACACAGAATTTTTCCCTGCTGCACTTTTTCCAAGGCTACTCTGCCAATCAAAAGGATGGGGTAAGACAACCCATGCTGAGGAAAATATAAATCACAGAATAATTGAGGGAGTTCTGGAGACCATCTAGGCCAGCACTGCGCTCAGAGCAATGTCAACTAGAGCAGGTTGCTCAGTGCACTGTCCAGCTGGGCTTTGAATATCTCCAAAGATGGAGACTCTGCAACCTTTCTGGGCAGCCTGCTGCAGTGTTTGACTACTTTCACAATAAGAGGATTTTTCTTAAGCTTAAGTGTTTATTTTACCTAAGTTATCAAACCTTCATTCCTTAAATTTAGAGGTAAGGCCAGGCTGTATAATTAACATACATAACCATATAACTGTGTAATGAAGTCCTACTACACTAATTGCTGAAACTCCACGTACAACTAGTCAGTGCAAGGCAGGTGCTTGGACAGTCTCTGGGAAGAGATGTGCCTCTACCATGAACTGCAGACAGAATCTACATGACTGTGGACCAGTTGCTTGACACCTAGGTGCAAAGGCATTCATAAATTCACCTGTAATGACCGAGATGGTCTTTGATTTCAAATGTTATCTAAAACCAGGGTCTACTCACTTAGATGTGCCTATAGTGGGAGGCCTACATTGTGATTATCCTGCAGAAGGTCTTCCCAGACACTTGGTGCAGCAGACTCTGTCCATCCCAACAGTTTCTTCCTCGTCCTGAAGGCTTCTCACAAGCTTAACACTGTGGTGTGTCCCCCATAGAAGGGTACTTTCTCTTTCTTCCCAGAATTTTCCTTTCAGAAGAAAGTCACAAAGTAGTCTTCCTCTCTGCTGTCCCAGCATATCTTTCAATCAAAATATATCTTAATTTCAGAACATATCCAACAGACAAATACAGCTATGAATAAGTTCTAAAAGTATATACGTTTAAAAAACTTCTTTATTTTATCTCAATTATAGAAATATCCAAGGAAGGGAAATAGCAACTCCTACCTTGCTGCTGGTTTTCTCAAAATTTCCTGAACAAGAGAGTCAAGATATTTCCCAAGCAGCTGAACGAATGGAAATGTCAATTCAAGTGCTGAAACAAAAAGTTTGCCAGAAGCACAAACGTTCATTGCATCCAACTGGTAAATATAGTATTATTGACATTGGCAAATCCTGTTGATTTCTTGAATATTGTCTCTTAGATTAAAGTTGGTTTAGCTTCACTTTTGTTTTACCTTTGGCAGGAGTACATATCTTGTCTGCACCCTGGGGCCAGGATGCCCTCTCTTTTGTTCTTAAATCACTTATCATCACTGGTTTACATTTTTCTTTGCTGGAGTGTGGGCTGTGTTCCTATAGTTGAGGAGAGCACCACTTTGCTATTGGCATCCTCTGAACTCATGACTGTATATTTGTATATCTGCAGTGTTGCAAGCTTCTTGTTTACAGTGAAATCTCTATCTTACCCAGCACTTTGTGTTTAGTGCTTCCGGGGCCTAGAATCTACAGGTAAAATAATACAATTTCTATCACACTATGGCACTGGCATTTTCAAATTAACTTCCTCTGGACACTGATGGCTTTATTAGTATCCATCTTTTAAGAAAATACTTTCTTATCTTCACAACTAATTTTATAATGCATTGCTATCACACATTTATTTCCACTTTGTTTCTATTTTAACTGGGTTTTTTTTAATGTTAGATGGAGAAAGAGAGAGAGAGTACAGAAAGTTCAGTGATGTATAATTGTCTAAGTAAAGTAAAATTCTCCTTGCTGATAATTAGAGGGAGTTTCAAGATATCTGTCATGTCAGAAAGGTTCAAAAATTCAGAAACATTGCCTTTTTTCCTGTAATTTAGTTCTGTCACTTAAAGCAGCATGACCTGGAGAACTGTAACTTTTATTCTTTGCCAGTATTATGACATTATTTTTCATGATACGGAAACATTAGCATGCTGTAACCAAACATAAAGGTTCGCAGTTTTGGTGGGGGGTTTTGGGTGTTTGGTTTGTTTTCTTTTTTTTTTTTTATTCTCTTGTGGAACCATTGGGTTACTAAATTAATGGAATATTTCTAGAACTAAAAATACATCTATGTATGTGTGTATGTGTGCGTATATTTACATGTACACAGGTACACACACAGATACAATCATTTTTCTGCTAGCTTAGTTTCAAAATAAATTTAATTTCTAAACTACAGAACAAGTGCACAGAATCCTTGTTAATTTTCAAAACTGAAACAACTTTAATGGAAGATGAATAGGCGCTATACAGTCTATGTGCCGTGACAAAGACTAGTTGTATGTGAATCAAAGAACTAAATTGGCTATAAAGAAAACATGTGAGTCAATACCTAGGCAGCACAGATAACTGGAGAACTCGGCTCTGAGCATAACGTTTAACTTGAACTAACATGGAAGTACAGCTGTATCCACAAATTTGGCCTGAGTAGCTAGTGCATAATGACAAGGTTACATAGCCAGTCTAACAGCCCACTCTCTTTTTATTCTCACACCTACCTTGCACGGGTTCTAGCTGCTCAGCAGAACATTTTTTGAGCTGATTTGGCTCTCAAACCTTTTTTTGTTTCTTTTTCTGATTTACTTTTTTTGCTTGATTACTGGACTAAAGCAGCTTAGTTGAGAGTTGGATGGGCTGAACGGACAGGTGGTGGGACTGGGTGACCTGCAGCAGCCAGTGGGGAGACAAGGACAAGAGTTAGGTGCTGCCTCTACCTTCTTCTTTCAGCATCTGATGGTTAGTCAGTTCGAATGGCAGGAGTTCTCTGAGTTCAGAAGTATATTGCTCCTCTTTCATGTGTGCTTCTGCCTTCAACTGGCCATACAGGTGTTTACATACCTACGTGGTTCAGAGAGGGTGCCAGCTCGCAGGAGCTTACACAAGCAACAGTGTGACTTTGACTCTCATCAGCAGAATGCTCATTGGGACACCCATCTGGGATCATATTAAACAAATATTAATAACACGCTGTCTACTGGTATACAGCTCCCTGATTTTACCTCTCTTCCAAATTGCAAATTCTGAGCATCTTCCACTCCACACTTAATTATGTAGTCAGCTGTAGTGTCTTTAAATTTCTATATCTTTCCAGTCCCACATTTTCCCTCCTTGGTGTATACTTCTTGAATAGCATTTTTTACACCTTTGTTTGGTATAAACTGGCGAAGAAATGTGACTACAATGCAGGCAAAGAAGGAAGCAGAGAGCAGGTTAAAGGAGAAAGAAGAGCAGGTAAACCTCAGTTCTCAGCTACATCTGACCTACTTCCTTCTCATTCTCTACCCATTAGATAATAAAACTAGCTCTTTCCTTTCACCCTCTGTCTCCTCTAAGTCCCCGAGACTGAAGCACTTCGCACTAAGTGCTCTTTCCCAGGAAGAAGAGAGGGGATGCTGTAGTTGTAGCTGACAATAATGCCTTTTCTCCTGTAGCAGCTATAGAGCAATAGAGCAAATTGCTTGTTTGGGTTCTTAATTTCAGATCTTCTATCAGCTGATCTGCACACTAGGATTGCTAATATTTCTGGATGCCTGCCTTATATGTTGCCACCAAAATGTCCAAACAATTGCTTAGCAAATAAATACCGACTTATCACTGGTGCCTGCAATAACAGGTATGTATGATAAGAATTTTGATCTGAAAAACACTTCTTTCTTATTCCTTAAACTCAAGAAGCTATGTTTGATTTTTTCTTAGAAAAATTCATGGAGGTGACCTCAATCAGCTAACTTTCACATCAATGTGTCTTTAAATGAGGTGCCTCTGAAAGCTCCCAGGGGAGAACCACTCCATCTAAAGTTCGGTACACTAATTTTTGTGGACAGGCTCTCCCTATGAAGTCTTCTAAGATTATGTAAGGAAATTTAAATTTAGGGAGTACTGATATAGTAAATGACTTCTTTTAGCTGAAGTAGACAGACTGAATTCTAAACCAGCATTCATTTTTGATTGAATTGGATAAAATGACATTGAGCAGGAAAATAGAATTACTTTACAAGGAGCAAAAAGAAAACCAAGTAGATTTTTTTTTGATTATTATTACCTCACAAACTCAACATTTAGCAAGCATGCATATAAAAATTCTGAGTGATATATTTATTTATATATGTCTATTTTTATAAGTATATGCTTATTGGCTATCTGAATAACTATTATTTATTACTGTTATCTTCTTGTTCCCTAATATATGTGGGAATTGTTTCCTTGAAAACCCAACGTAACAGATGTAACTGTATTTTCAAAATCCTCCAGTGCAATGAGGATGTAAAACTGAGAATGAGAGCCCTTTTGAGTACAAGGGTAAATGATATTTATACTCAGCAGCCTTTGGATACAGAGTCATAAGGTCACAAACTGAAAGGCAGACTATAATATTACAAGTGAAGAGCTAGAGAGCTGTAAATGGAAGGTCGTTAGACTAACACAGTTTAAGTCACTCTGCAGTGTGGTGAATGAACAGCAGTAAAATTCTGCGGTTTTGTTATTTAATCAGTCTGTTTTTATGAGACAAATCTGTTTTGCTGCATCACGTCATTTTCAGGGAACATGCCTGGTAGGATCTTTGCTGAAAAGACACAACATGATATGCACTGATGTTAGAAATCTAACTATGTGGATATCCATAATTTCCCCCAGGCACTTGCAGTGTTGCTGGAAATCTGAACTAACAGTTAGTTATTTGCACTGAAACCTCCATCAGGGCTTGAACACATGGGCCAAGCTTCATGCAGCTGAGCACAGGCACGTGGCTGAAGCTCTTAATTTGAAGGCATAGATGCTGTAGTCTTTCTTTCCAGAGACAGAGAGAAACAGGCTTCTCTGTAGGTAAGGTAAAACATCATTTTCTCCTCAGTGACTCTGGTAATACTGGGATGTGTATAGGCATTTCAGTCTGGTTTCTAAAGCTGGGAAGGGTAAATATGATCCATTGAGTTGGGTTAGTCTGTAGTCACTGTGTTCTACTTTGTGTAGTTGTATGCTTGTACCAAATCAGTGTACAAATCCATCACCTCACATTTGGTGGTATTTTGGACTTTTTGTTCTAAATATCTGTAAAATGTGCAAGGCAGCAAAAAAACCAAACCCAAAGCCTTTGAAACCAGCGAGTCAGAACTTAGTCTAAAACTTTGTGAGCCCCTTGACATTCCTCAAGCTTTACTGAAATACATCAGCTTAAAAAGCCCATTATACTGTAATGTAAACCACATATTCTACGATGTAAACCAGCTTCAAAGACTTCAAACATTAAACAAAGTTCCAATCTGTACTTTTCCTTGTTTTACAGCTGCCACTTTCAGGCAGAAAATATATAAGAACCTATGCTGTATTTGTAATTTTAGTCACCCAGTAGGTATGTGCAGGAGTGCTGTAGATCAGTGAATGCTGCATTTCATACGTGAAATTTAAAAACAAAAGACACAGTAGAATTAATCGTTCACCTATAAGAAAAATCTATTTAAATATACTTCAGAGTAAGCATGGAATTTCTTTACAGATGTTTTACTTAATCAGTTCATGGATTTGGAACAAAGATAGATTTAAAAGTATTTATTGCACAGCACTGATTATTTTGGTTTAGTGTGAACTTCCTAGAACAAAGGCGTTCGAGAACAGCATTGAACATGACCTTCTATGGAGAATATCAACATGACATCAGACATTCCCAGCAGTGTTATTAGCCACATTTACTAGTAGCAGATATCAACAGTTTTTGCTTTTCTTCCTGCCTGAAGGCATAGGCGTGGATAATAATAATTAAAAAAAATAAAATCACATTATTTTAAAATTAAGAATAAGGGAGATGAGGCATGTCCAAATAGTTTTTTTCCTCCCATTTTTTATCCCAACAAACTAGCATTGATCTGTGTAGTTTTTAATATCTAGTGCAATGAGAGGGATTCAGAGGTAAAGGAACTGCAGTAACTAAAGGAATGGAATCTCACAGTGCAATTAACCTCATCTAATCTTAGCTATCCAAGGTAGTTATATGTCTACTGCAAGGTTGCAGCTTTGGCTGTTCGAAATTGTGAGAGGATGGGCTGACAGAATGGTACCTAGGAGTCGTCAGTCTCTCGGGCTTGATGGACAGGTGCTTAGATGGCTAGATTGCAATTATATGCCTAATATTTGGGCAGCTTGGAGGAATTTTATCTTCAGCATTTGTTTCATTGCTGTGTCATTAACCATGTCATTAGATAAGGACCTGACGCTTATTCTGAAGGTCTATTATGGTCAGAGTTAGGGGTGTGAATAGGGCTCACCTGGTGGAAAGAATGAGCCGTCCCGCCTGAATCCATTGACTATAAGAAGGCATTGAGGTGTTTCTTGTACCATGGCTGCTTCACTTCAGTACAAGCTAAATGTTCAGTTTAGTGGCAAGCTTATGTTTCATAAATTTTCAATGTTTGCTAGAAATAATGTCCATGGTAGCAGAGTGATGTAAAACATGACAGAGTCCAGTTATTGAATTGCCATATGGCATTCATATGGAAGTCTCACTTCCCATAAACAGAATGTATAGTAATCAAATTTGACTTCTCTATAAAGCTGTATGGTACCAAAATCTCATTATTTCAGCTGCCCTGGATAAAACCTTTTTAACTCAAACAAGTTTCCAAGACATTAACATGTTTAATGTAACAATAAAAAAGTATGTGAGAAGGGTTTTACTAAAGTAGCATTCCAGTGATCTGCTAAAATATAAAAGCAATCTGCAGAAAAATTACCGGTTAAGCAGTTAAATTAACATTTCATTATTTTTAATTGAGTGAAATAGCACTACACTATGTGCAGTATTTTATGCAATTTCAATAAAGGCAAATCAACTGTAACTAATTTGAATGCTTTATTAAAGCATACTTAACCTTCAAGTGTGAATTATTGTGGATAATTAAGTGTATTACTGTACTGTATAGCTTGGCAAATTGAGCCACTTCAGTGTGCTGGAGATCAATGAAGTATTAATAAAATAATTGTTCCCTCTTTAGCGTCCCAATAGACATATAAATGTATGTTTTAACAGCATGTAATTCTAACTGTCTGGGAACATTCCTGGTTCTTTGTGGCTTACTTTACAATTTTGGTCAACTGGGTACATAATGTCTACATATATTTAAAAATTATTAAATATATTGAACAGGCCATGTTAAAAAGATAACCAACCAGAAATAAAAAAAACCCAACCCTGAAATATTCTCTTAGGAAAAATGCATGATACAAGGAAAATTAATTGGGTCAAGCCCAAGACTTGTTAACTATACTAATGAATAAAAATCATAAGGAATCATTTCCCAGCCTTCAAATCAAGTATCGCATGACTCTTTCCACCCTTTTACTCATACTTTTGTGTAACTTTTTTTACTCCCATTCCCTCTTCCAAGCAGGCTGGCTGCAGGCTGGCGAACTGGCATGTAGTAATCCCACAGCGTGCCCAGCCAGGTGTCATTCAGTGAAATGCTAGTTGGCGTGAGCCAACACCACACTGCAGTTAGTGTTAGCATTTAAAAAGCGTTGTTAAATGCGTACCAGTGCTTGGGCTTGTGCACAGGCACTCACAAAGCTGTAGCCAAGTAATTAATATAGATGAAACCAGAGGGAGCATTGCCACCAAATTCAGCAACTTCAGCGATCATTTCCCTTTCCTCAGACATTTCTGCTTAGGTCTTGCTAAATGATTACTTCTGTATGACTAGTATCCATTTTTCTTGTAAGCTTTATTCACCTTTATTCTAGACCTTCTTTGTATTTTCCTAAATCTTGAATTTCTAGCTATTGCTCTAAAAAAGCAGCTTTTTAAAGATGCCAGCAAAGGCACTTAAGAGTATATCTGACTTCATGGGGAATGAGGACACTATGAGGAAGTCAGCATTTGCATAAGTATTTCAAAGATGTCAAAGGGTAACCAAATTACATTATAAACATAAGGAAGATAGTAATATTTCATTAGTAATTTAATTTTTCTTTATTTTCCTTTCAAGTCAAACTGATGTTGGCATACATGAAGACCAGTATTTATGCCTTTTTAAATATCGCTACATGAACATCTTATTGCAATGGAATATCACCCTGTGGCTGATGATTATCTTATTTTATATTCATATTATTGTATATTCAGATTATTTTATATTCAGAATATAAATGTGTAGTAAATATGTTAGAAAGTATATAAATATTTTATGTTCAGAATATGTTCAGAGGTGCAGGGTCCTTTTGGTTTTGCTGCTGCTGTTGTTTCTTTGGTTTTGTTCTTTCCCCAGGGAACATCCTAGATGGGGAGCATCCAACACAGCATTGGCTAGGTGGCTTCCACCAGCCTATGAAGATGGACTCAGCCAACCTCGAGGATGGGACCCCAGCATCCAATATAACGGAGTCCAGCTGCCCTTGGTTAGAAAGTGCACCATGAGATCACCTGACACAGTGTGGGCTATAACCACGACCTCTGTTTGCATCAGTAAAACATACAGCAAAAGAAGCCAATGGACTCAGTTGAGGAGCTGCTAGCTTTGCTAAAGCATAAGTTCAGTGAGCCAAATCGTTAGAGGTGCCCTGCACAGGGGTTGGGGCAAGCCCAAAGAGTAGTGCAGGGGGGCAGCTCTGCCGAAAACGACGGTGGTGGAGAGCAAGCAAGGCACGCGCCAGGCGCAGAGCAGCCAGCACTCGCGGGGTGGTGATTGCTTGGCCTAGAGGAAAGGTGATGCAGGATGGACCTAATCATTGCCCTCCCATGCTATAAGGCCATGTAAGAGTCAAGGGAGGTCTTCACAAGGGTGCACACTGACATGGCAAGCAGCAACGATCACAAGTTGCTCCAGGGGAAATTTTGTCTTGATACAAGGAAAAAAAAAAATTGTTTCAAGAACAATTAAATATTGGAATAGGCTGCCTAGACAACTGCTGCAATATCCCACATGGTACATACCCAAGTCCTGGCTTGATGGGGCTCTGAATAACCTAAACCCTGCTTTCAGTAGAAAGCCGTACCGTGTGGTCTCCAGTTTTCTTTCAGCCTAGACCTTCCAGTGAATGTATGATTCTTTGTTCCAATTATGGTGCCTTTATTCAGGGGAGGAGGAGGGGGGAAAACGGGGTTGGGTGTTAACTAAATAAATATAAATCACATAGATGTGGTAGCATGTGCGTGTGTACACATGTATACTGTTTCTCCTAAGTTAGCGTACCTTAACTAAAGAAGTATTACTGTCAAATCATAACTTCATTTTTTAGCCCAACTTACTGAGCTAAAAAATTGCAGTCTTTCTGGATTTTAGCAGCTCATATACTTAAAAAATAACAGAGCTACTATAGAGGGAAGTTTGAACAAAAAATATTTGCATAGAGGACTTGGTAAAAAATTCCCCTGTGCAGTGTGCAGTGATATGGGATGGATTTACTATTTCTGGTTTGTCATCATTGCTTGCAACCTGACTTTTCATGGACCCAAAGTCTTGTTATTTTAACCGCTGTATGTTTAATAAGGATGAGCGAGAGAATTTAGTTTTAATGTCACCTGCAACTCATGTTATTAATTAAATAACGTTGTGTCTAAGCTGCACAATTTAGTGCTTAAAGATGAAAACCTGACATTTACACAGGTAAATTTCCAGTCGATGGTGCAAACTGCCTATTTCTAGATTCATTAGGGTATATGCTTGGGAAGTGAAACATGCTGAAGTGGATCAGATCTTAACATCAGTAAAGTTCTCTGCTTTATTTTGAAGTAAGATAGTATGAAACTAGTGTCCTAGATGTTTTTCCTCGTTTACATAATTGTCTTTTTTTATACTTTTAGCCTTTAAAAAGCAACATGCAAATAATGTGAAAGTGAGAGATAAGTGTGAAGATTACTATACAGCAATATTAGAACACAGCGTAGTTGTGCAAGTTCAGAGTCATAAGAAAATCTTACTATCTGCAAGAAAAAGTTTGTGCTTTGTGGCCACCAAAGCTATTAAAATACTGATGTAGAGACTTGTATTCCTGATGAGCTCTATGTATCTCTACTCTTGACTATTTCAATATAAAGCCTGATGTTTTGCTAACAAGTCCCATGTTGCCTCTTGTCCTTACCAATTCTATTTAACTGCACCTGCCTTATACATTCATTGTATAGCCCTTTTATTTATTGCAGACTTTTATGTGCTGCCCTTTCAATTGCTTGACTTCCAAGGCAGTTGCAGTATGCGAGGTAATAATTTGCAGCATAAGGGAGGAATCTGTGAACAATAACAATACCCTAATCATCGCAAACTGACTGGTGATTTTGCTCTGATGTTTTTGCTTGGTTATTAGTATAAGCTGGACATGTAGCATAGATGTTTCCATGTTTTCCCCCTCAGAGCATCTGTATCTCTATGCGGCTTTCACAGAATTGCCTCGGAAATGTGTTTTGGCTTCTACCTGCCTGGGAAAATGAAGCAGAGCTTTCAGCTACCATGTATTTGCAACCCAGCCTGTCTCCAGGGCTGCATAAGCTACTCCATTTATGTACGGAGCAGCCCAGAGCCTCTGCAAATCCACAGTGATTTGAGGTTGCCCAACAAACAGAATCCATTTGTTAAAGGAGCAGAAAATAGACTAAATAGAAAGAAAACTTTTAGACAGTCTAAAAGAAACGTGGTTTTCAAAATTCTGTGGAAAGGAGCAGATCAAAGATACACTGCTCATTTGGCAAGTATATAGAAGAACTAGGCTGAAACATCTTTGAATCTGCTTGTGGCACCCGTTTCTCAGCTCCTGAACAGAAATAAGAGTCTGTCAGAGGTTGGGTTTTTTTGTAGTTGAGGATTTGGTTTTGGTTTTAAGCAAGCCATTAAAAGTACTCTACAACATAAAGTATTCTAAGGAAAAAAAGTTAGCTTTCATCACTGTTCCCCCTGCTTTTTAGTGTTTTATTGTTTTATGAGAAGTACTACTTGGCACTCAAGGTAAATTAGTTCTCTTCCCAGGTTCGTGAAGTGACAAGAAAAATTATTCACACATCTAATGAGGCTGTTACTGAAGACCACCTATATTCTGATATCATTATGGTGTGGGGACAGTACATAGACCACGACATTGCATTCACACCCCAGAGCACAAGTAGAACCACCTTCCTAACTGGAATGGAGTGCCAGAAGACATGTGAAAAACAAAATCCATGTTTTCCCATAAAGGTAAGATTCTAAATTAATTTTCTTCAACAGAAATCCCAGGTGAGTAATGTAAAGCACAGAAGTGATACACATGCACTAAAGTAATTATATAGGAAGTTACTAGATCATCCAGAAATATTAGAGCAGAGAGCGATAGGAAAATCGAAACCCAACTATTAAATGTAACAAGTGAATGTTTAAATTGTTTTTTAGAGATAACAAACCATAGCTAAGGTACTTAGTAAAAATATCAAATTTTTCTACCTCTCAGGTTTATGCTGCAGAGAAACCTTACTAGTCCCCCGTCCCACCCCCGTCCCCCCGCCCCGCAATGTTATTGTTCTCATACTTCAAGGTTTTGAGTTCCATTGGGGAAAACAGGGAAGTAGTCATAAATAATTCTGTTTTTAAATTGCCAGCCAGATAAACTGAAAGGATTTTAACTTTACTCAGTGAAAGCAAAGATATTTCCAGCAGCTAATGCAAACTTTTGAAGAGAGCTATCTTTTCACTGTATGTATAAAGTGATCTTCAGGGAGTTGCTGCAACTTACATACATCACCTCTTTGCTTTGAGTAGATGGAAAACATGAATTCAAAGTTTGTTAGAGGGTTGGAAGAAACATAAATTGGTATAAATATAGGATCTTGTATTACTGTCTGATTAATCTAAAAGTATACTAATTCTTTCACTCAGAAATTTAGAATCAAATTCACAATGCTTCTTTTGTTTCTCAGAGCTCCTCCTCGTGCTGCAGAAGAGCCCTGTGCTTGTTACAGCCCTTGGGCTGATGCCTCCATATCTGTCCAGAGGAACTTACATTACTTTCCTTAGGACTGGAGCTTGATTATTGACCAACTTCTCTATGCACTGAAGCCAGTGTAGGGGATAAGGTCCATCAGAATAGAAAACCACTTTCCCCTCAAAAAAACTGTAATTGATAACTGTGCCACAGTCTCCTTTTGCTTTATGTGCCTCATTCCACTTCCATTAAACATAAAGGAAAATATTCTGCTAACTGTAATGGGAAATGAATCAGGTCCTGTATTGAAAGATGGCTCACCTTCCATTTGGCAAAACAATCTAAAACACAGGGAAGACTAAGTGAAATTAATGACTATCTGCAATTTTACCACAGATAGGTAAATCTAGTCTTTCTCACCCAGGAGATATGGACTTTTGGAAGTTTGCAAGCATAGCTTGAGAGCATTCAGGACCACAGACTTCTTAAAGAATCACATTCTCAGGACACTGAGACCGGCTAACCTGGTTTAGCCACAACAGCCCTAATTACAATGAGTCTTCCACAGTTGTGACAAAAATCTCTAGTCTACTATGTCTCAGACTTCCCCTTGGGGCAGGAAGTTATTTAGTTTGTTTATGCTGTTACACAATAGCCTTAGAAATGTCTCCATTCCCAAAGTCTTATCAGGAGAGGCTAGTGCAGAAGTCCAGACCCTGACCAGCAGTGTTCCACATGATATGATGAAGGAGGTGGATTGCGTCTCCACCGTATGACACAATGTGGTTATGTATTGACTCTCATTTTTAAAAATTCAGTTTGCTGTAGATATAAAACTGCAAAAGCCTTTGAAGCTTATGCTTTGTGTTTATGACATTCTTTGAAACAACACAATTAGTATTGATCTTCAAGTGCAAAACCCCTATATTTTTTATTACTAAATAGATTTTTAGATTAAGAATACATTCATAACGTTGCCCACAATTTGAATCAAATGTGGATCTTTGGGACCATAGAATTCTAATCACTGAACTCTAACTTTTCAAGCCCAGAAGTCCCATCTGCTTAAAAAAAAGGTTATTTAAGGGATCTTTGAAAAAGGACCCCAAAGCTAACATTATTCCTGTGGTAGTGGCATTACAGTGCAGAGAGAAAGAAATTGCACAGATTACCATGGCGTAGACCCATAAGTGCATCCTTCCATGCTCTAAACAATGGACATATTTCATATTTCTATCTTGGAGCTACAAAAGATTTATCACAGAGCATGTTTCAGGGATGGTCTTGGAGGCAGGTTATATGTACCTATACGAAATCTAGCACTGAATGTAGCCTAGGAGCTGCTCCTCCTCATCAATGTTGCCTAGCAGAGGGATGAGGTCAAGGCATACCCATGGCTACCTTTGGAAGTTAGTGCCTGATCCTAAAAAGGGTTATGAGGGGGCAACATATTAAGAAATTCAGACACAGCCCTAGAAGAATTAGATTAGTTTTCCAACTTGTGGATTCATTACATGTTCACAGTCCCATGAATTTTTCATCCCCATTTTGTTATTATTCTGTTATTCACAGCTTAGAAGATATTAGAATTGTCTTAGATATGAAGACAATTGTTATTTTGCCTTTATTATATGTCTAGTGGTTTGTTACTGGTTTTGTCAAGGGCAAAGAACAGACACTGTATGAAAGAAAAAAAAGGATTGGGAGATTGTATTTGTTTGTGTGACCAGAGGAACTATTTTTTGAACATTGAAACAAAATGCTATTACCCCTTAGGACTGATCTACTTCCTGAAATCTTAATTAAAGCTAATCTCCACCTATTAAATATTTGGAAAACCGCCACAGTTGGTTTTATATGTTCATTTGTATTTGAAGAAACTGTGGCTGGTTTCCAAAGACAGTGAAACCAATAACATATTATACAACAGTGTAAACATAGAGGCGGCAGTTTGCACTTGTTCTGTGCTCCTAGAAGCGCGGCACCCAAGGGACAATCCACCCACGGAAAAGGACAACCCTGCTTACAGCCGCACAACCTCTCTGGGGGTTTCACCAGGCAGAGGAAGCTCATGACTCCACAGGTTAGGGAAGCTGTCTGGAAAATATTCTCAGTCAGTGCAATTCAAGGGAGTATTGGAAGCTGTGATAGTGCATTAATATTAATAACAAGTGTAGGAAATTCATAGGTTAGCAGGAACCATTATGATTTTCTATTCTGGACATTTTCAGAATAAAGGCTATAGAGTTTCATACGGTGATTCTCACACGGAGCCTGTAGCTTCTGGTAGAGCTTAAACATTCTTTTTCTGTATCTTTTCAGAATCACATAATGTGGGAAAAAAACAAAAAGAAAGAAAAAAATCACTAGCTTTAGTTTATACTTCCTTTACAGCAGCCTGAGACATGGAACCGGGTTGCGGAGATAACCTGTCATTCCTCAGATGATTATTTCAGGTTAGGGCTGAGACATATTGAGGCATTAAAAAGACTTTCACAGGAGAGCTACTGACTTTATTCAGTATTAATTACACTGCTGATAGTAAGTTAGGCACGGTACATACACATAGTAAGATAAAATCCTGAAAGCTTACAGACAGTTCAGATACAGAAAGGTGTAAAAAAAAACCAGAAAGGTGTAAAAGAAACAGAGCCACAGAAAAGTGAGATGATTTGCAAAAGGTGACATGTAACATGACAGGTTACTGTCTCAGATACAAATGGATCTGTCTGTGTGTGCTCGACAACCAGCAAAGAGAGCACCTGCCTTTTTCTTCTGTGTTTCAGAGGTAGAAGTTGACTGTCAGATGGGGTCATTGACTCTCCTCTGACTTTCGTCTCCACAAACAAACATTCATGTTTTCCTACTGGCAAACTTTCATAGACCGTAAGCTAGGTTTTCTTTTAAGTCTACAGCAAAAACCCTTCTACAAAGTCATTTCACACAGAACAAGTCTACAGTAAGAAAGACTTTTCTTTACGTAACAGTATAGATATTGTGGTAGACTGAAACGACTAGTGCTTTTCATTTTCCTACACATAAAAGAATTTCCCTATAAACAAGTTTGAACATGCATATATAACAGTTAAAACAATGTGCAGCTATGCTAGGAAAACTATCATGATCAGACAGGAGGTTGTTGTGTATTCCCTCTAGAATTATGCAGTAAAAGAAAAAACTAATTTGAATATTATTCATTAGTTTGGAAAAAAAAAGAAGAAAAAAAACCCCAAACACAAACCCCATACCTTATTCTGTATCCATTTTAGCAGAAAAAGGTCCTTTTTATCCCTCAGATTATTTTTGATATCATCTGAATAATAACATAAGGAACCTCTCATTTTGCACATACCACTGCTGGCTGCACACTGCTTATCCCATAAAAAGGGAAAGGACTGCATTATGCAGTTCTGCCAGTCCCTTAATGTTCATTACTGCTGTTTTTCTCCGCTGGGGCACAGAACAATTTGAATTGAAATTGCAGAGGCAGTTAACTAAAGATTATTCGGTATGAACTTCATCCACCGTTGATATGTTTTGTTGTGAGCCTTGCTGTTTAACAACTCAAAGACATCTCAGACATTTTTTTCCTAGTGATACCTGAATTATTCCAGGTTTTCCTGATAACTAAAAGCAGGAGGCATTCAAGCACATCCAATGCTGTGGCTGTCATGTTCATCTGTAACATGAGATGAGCTTCCTCCTTAGATTACCAGCTGAAGGGAAAAAGCAGCCACATTAATAGCAAGAGGCTTAATAATACAGAAAAATACTCAATAGAAAATCCAACGCAGAGAAATAACTGATTTCAGCTATCAGTGAAAGAAAAAAAAAAGGAAAAGAAATTACGTATTTCCTTCAAAAATAACCTACTCTGATTTGCTAAAACCTAGGTAATGAAGAAATGTTAGTAGAACTTCTTTACCAAACAAAACTTGAAAAACCGACAAAAACCTTTCTTGTCTTAAGTGCTATATTGGTATCAAACTCTGCTGACATGAGTTCTCACTAGTAAGATTTTACTTGGTATAATAAGTGAGGTAATGATGTTATTACATGAAGCGTTTGAATTCCATTCCAAAGTTTCCTTGTTACTTTTACCCCCCATTTAATAACTCTTCTATCTTCACAGACTGATCTTTATGTTATTAGAAGAATGAAGTAGAAATCATATCATTTTATATAGCATCTGCAGTATTCACTGTCTTCTGCCAGTGAGTTTTGAAAAATGAAAAGCAAGCAGATAGAATACCAATGAGAAGGATTAGCTCAGGTGTCTGTACAAAACATTTATTTTCTCTTAGTCAAAACCCCAAGATCTCATGTGATAATTCACACATGTCTCTCTCATGCCCTTTACCTGTATTTGGAATAGGTGACCAAGTGACAGGCTGGTTCAGACTATATCCATACTGACTAGCACACAAATGCTGGATCACCATTTGATCTCGGTCCCTCGCCTGTGTCTGGGTCAAACCCGTAAAGGACTGGGAAGGCTTTGTTTTTTATAAAAACAGTCAGAATGCAATACTTGTAAGACATCTGTTGCTGTAAAAATAATGTGGGAGGGGTATTGTGGTGGACAGGCAGATATCAGAGTAAATAATTAAATGTGCTTTTTTTTAGTTATGAAACTGGATAAATTACGTATGGAAACAAAGCTTTTACAGTGTACTGCTGCAGGCATTGAAACTCTCCGTTATATTTTTATGTATACATGTAAACCTGCTGTTTCACTCGGTATTCAGTAGACAGTAATTTGACCAGATGTTCATGACTTCACTGTGATACATTTCCTGATGAATTCTGATTGTGAAACAGACCGATTTAAGTGTTGATCTATGCAGAAAGGGTTACATCAGCAGCTTGCTCTTACGACAGAGTAAACGTTTTGGGGTTTATTTCTGTCTTTGCTTAGAAATGGTTGAATCATCTTTTTTCTTAAATCTGAGGGAAAGGAAGAATCTCTACAGACTTAGAATATGCCACTGCAGTAAATGAGTTCTGAACATCTGAAAAATGAGACAGAGGATGGAAATACTTACATATGTAACATCCTCAATGTTACCTTCACATCCAGCATCCACAACTGTTACCTTCACAACAGAAAATGCCTTTTTTAATTTTCTTTTTAATGCAGGTGACCACCAATGATACATTATCTGCAGGGATGGATTGCTTGCCCTTCTACCGCTCATCTCCTGCATGCAGCACTGGTGATCATGGTATTCTCTTTGGAAATCTGTCAACACTAAATCCAAGGCAACAAATCAATGGCTTAACTTCCTTCCTTGATGCTTCTACAGTTTATGGCAGTACCCCTGCCACTGAAAACAAGCTGAGGAATCTAACAAGCAAAGAAGGCCTTCTTAGAGTAAACATTAAATATTATGATAACCATCGAGAACATCTGCCTTTTACAGACCAGATCCCATCACCTTGTGCCCAGGACTCGAACACAGGTGTTGGTGAGAGGATTGAATGCTTTATGGCCGGGGACAGCCGATCCAGCGAGGTCACGTCTCTGACAGCTATGCACACACTGTGGCTGAGAGAGCACAACCGGCTGGCCAGAGCCCTCAAAAACATCAACAGCCACTGGACTGCTGAGACAGTCTACCAAGAAGCACGAAAGATTGTCGGTGCTCTGCATCAGGTTGGCTGCTTCTTTGCTTATCTATATATTGCAGTGAATATCCTAGAACAGAATCAATCACAAAACTTCAAATATGTGAGTGGCTTTGGAGATGATGTTACCCTTTATTTGTTACCTATTTCTGCACTTAAAATTTGGGATGTTTAAAGTTTCTTCCGTTTTCCACTTTCCTGAATGCAATGTCCTTGTTCTTAGTTTGTCCAGACCCCACAGTGCTCCATTTTTCGTGGCAGGTCCTACACTGCATCATCTTTCCACAGATTTCTCCAGTGTCTATTTTGTCTGTTGAAGAGATAATCTTTAAGGTCCCTTCCAACCTAAACCATTCTATGAAGAGGCCTTTTGAGGTGCATTTATTTGAAGGATGTTTTTTTTCGTAAAGAAAACAAAAAGTAATGTTTCTGTATTTACACAGGTGCTTAATTTCTTATAGGGATTATATAAATGAATAATTTTCCTGTGTAAAAAGATCACAATGACACATTAATGCACAGACTTCAAGGGTTCCTTTGGACAGAAGATAGCAGGAGAAATAAATATGGGAAAATACAGAAGAAAAAAGTGCATAAGAAGGTTTATATTAGACTTGAGCATAGGTAAATCTATTTCTGCTCAGTATTTTTCCTTTCTCTCCCTCCCACTTCCCCAGCTAAAGTAGCTACACAGGCTTTAACTCCTTTTTTTCTTCACATTTCTGTTGTTCAGTTTCGACAGCTTTGCATCCTACAGACGTCCACATGACCCTATCATAAACAAACCAAAATGGAAACATTCAACAGAATTGCACAAAATATAATCTGTTTGTTCTCAGTGATAGAGGCACTCAAATCTGAATGTCATCAGAAACTGGATGGATTCCTCTAGTGGTAGCCCAACAGATGGGAGTATGTGGTGGCTCCCTGTCCTCAGGTCCAGCTAGTACAAAGCCAAGCACCCATGCCCAGTAGGCATGCACATGGGTACATATGCAGCACCTTTACTGGCACTCACGAACATGAATGGCCATGGATGGCCTGACCCATGTTCTCTGTGGCTGCTCAGGAATGAAGCCCATTAGTGAGGTACACACACAGGCAACACAGGGCGTTCCCAGACACCTGTAGAGTGGCTGGCCCCAGAAGTCATGAAGCCTGGACCCACCAGCCCCTGAAACTCGGGGTCCCACTCACTCTCTCTGCAGGTCCTCAAGTTTCTTATGCTGCTCATCATCTCTGGTCTGTCTGGAAACTCACTAGTGATCGCACACATATGCTCAGAATAGTGAGTACACCCACAAGAAAGCAGAAACTTAAGAGATCAGGTACAGGACTCAGTGAGACGAGCACACTGATCAGCTAACTTAGACAGCTCCTTTTATCCTCTTTCACTCTATTTTCCCATGGTTGTTCTTCCCCAGTCCAGCTTGATTGGTTCCTTTCCCCACCTTTAGTCCTTTCCCTGGATATCCCAAAGTGGTTCACACATTCCCACAACCCCTTAGAACATTACAAACAACGTTCTACAAGGTCCCCCCATGTTATCTCCTCCCCACACCCTATAACGAGTCCTAACCCTGTACGCAACTTCCCCTTTAGCTTGTATGACATTCAGGGTGCAGTTTCTTTCATTGGCTCTTCTTGGAGGGTTTCACACCTAGGGTTGGGGTCTGGCCATTCTCTCTGGTGGCCTCAGGGAACAGAAGACTTTGTGAGCCCTTTTCAATGGTTTGGTTACTCAGGTTGCTCTAAGAATAATGATTCCATCTGTCCATTATAATCCCTAATGCTGGATGAGCAATATCAGGACCAGAACAAACTGAAGGCTAGGGGACTTCCATATGCTTTCTGATTCTTGCAAACAGATGTTTTTAGAAATGAAAGGAGACTTTTTTGAAGATAAATTAAGGAAGGAGGGAGGAAAATTTCACTATTCTGATAAAACACACTTTCTTCTGCCACAATTCTTAGTCAGCAGAATGTGTTAAGAGACCACCTTCATTCTCTGGCATGTTGTTTTTTGCACTTAAAGCCAGATAACTTCCAAAAAGTAACACACCAAGTAACATATATCATTGTCCTTTTAGGAGGATTTAGTCAGTCCCTTTGAAAATCTTGGCTTTTGTTGATACAGATTTTGACATTAACTATGTCAGCTCCTCTGCTGTAAATGTGCTGTTTGCATTAAAATAATGGTACTGACAGTGAGAGTTGTTGTTAGTCCTTGTTAGAAGAAAAGTGCAAATGCAAAAGTAGGCCTCTGCACATTCATACACTTCTGATTTATATCCTGTAATATTATAGCCTGAAAGAAAACACTGTACAAGGCAATGCACTGCATGAATCTGGGCTACTCATTATCTCTACCAGTATCACAGACTAATGAGGTTTGCCTAGAGCTCATTAGAAATGTGTTTGAGTTATATCTAGCTGGTTTAGAGACATTCATTCAAAAGAGATAATTGGAGTATCTCTATTAATGTGGTATGCTAACCAGAACACTAATGACAGCTCTAGTTGAAGTTATCTTGAGATTTCCACTCTAAAATTTAGTTTCAGTTGCTACGCATTTCTAAAAATCCCTATTTTTGGAATTAATACTTTCAAGCATAATTTTTACCTGTGGGTGTGTAATTATAGAGAATTGAACAAAAAGCCTTCCCTTCTTTCTAGAATAAGAATAATGAAAAAATCTCTCTCTAGACCATACTTTTCTTCTAGATGTTTTTTGTTAGCATAAATGTCTCTAGTGACATGATTTTAATAATAGAAACTGGACAAAGTTACCAAATATAACAACTGTCTGTTGATATCATGGACAAAACAAGAGTTTTTTGTTGCATTGTAGGCATGTTACACTCTTGAGTAGTACTTTCCATGAGCCACAACATTCATTAACTCTTCCTTTGTATTTTACGGGAATGACATATGCTTGTTGACCTGAGAAAACAGAATAAGGAGAATTAGGATTCCTTCTTTTAAGGTATTGGAAAGAAAATAGCTTAAATTTGTTTTCCTTTAAACAAAGTGTAGACAAATGAGGAAAAAAGACTCAACTGTGCAACTGCCAGAGTCTTAAGATGGCTATTTCATATGTGCATGGTTTGCAGGATACAATTGCATGTACATGTGCTGCTCCTTCCCAGGGACATTTTCTCTTGCTGTGCTGTTTGGAATGTGAAAGCTGGATGATGTGGCACTAGTCAGAGTGAAGCAGGAGCTTTGCAGATCAATCTGAATCAAATTCTCTTTGATTTATTACAGTATCAGAGAAACATCTCTGAATTAATGGTGTTACTGCCATTTGATCCCAATTGTAGTTGACAGCTGCCGTTACTTGTCAGTGTGTATATAGGTGTTTTTTTCACTTCCTTCTTCATCTGCTTGTGTTCTCTGAGAATCTTTCATCCCTACTTCTCTGCCATGATCTGAGGCGTGGGTTGAAAGTGGGTGTCTTCTGACACTGACATACTTTAACTTAACTACAATTATTGGGTTCAACATGTCTGAATGGATTAAACTTGTTTGTGAAATAAGATGATTAGATAACTCCTGTCAGAGTTTGAACTCTATGAAATTATAAAGGATAAATAGATAAATAATAGATATTGTAAATATCTATCTATTTACTATTGTAAAATAGTATGTGTTGAACACTGTCAAAACTCATATTTATAAAGAGTATAGCTCAGACTGCTAACAGAACTATAATAATGTGTTCATTATTTATTAAAAATTGAACTAACATACAGTCACCCTTAACAGAAAAGTTTAGAATTTCAACATCATCTATAAATTCTGTAATATCTACTGTGCATAACACTTTAATGAATTAAATATCACTGTTAATATTTTGGTTGTTCTCTATTATTTCTGCAATCTTTCCAAGCTTCATTTAATTGGCTTTTCACTATCTCAGTAAGATATTATTCCTTTTCAGTTACCTCTGGCCAGTGACAAAGACAAGTTGTAATTTTGGCCTTACTTATGACAGTTCACATTTTTATATTCTGTCTTCCAGCCTTTTTTTTAATTTTTCTTTTCCATCCATTGTGCCCCATTCACACCTACTTTGGAAAATACTGGAGAGCTTTTGGCAAGGAAAATTGCTGAACCTTATGAGAAATAATATTAATTTCTGTACCTTTTGCACCTAATTTGAAATAGCTTTAAAGATGAACGAAAATTTCTCAAAAATAATCTGAAATTCTGTCACCTATTTCCAAATATCTAATGTGTGGCTGATTTCTGCTGGAGGTGGCCCAGCCTGGAGGCAAACCCAGCCAGGATGCTCGCTGAGTTCAAAAGGACACTTGGGAACCCCTGTTATAAATTTGCCTTCCGAATGAGAGGGCTGTTGCCTTTCACACTAACAGCCTGTTTAACTTGGGGTATTACTGTGTCAGCAGGTCAAGATTCAGTTACATTTCTATAAAGAGCGCATGTGTGATTCACGATATGATGTAAAATCTGTACAAAGCCTTTTCTGACATTCTTGTAATTACTCTTATTTTTTCTAACTAAATACTTACCAAATGTTTGGTTGAACTTTAGGAATTCAGAATTGTATTTTCTCTGATATGAATAAATTAATAACATAGAATCACAGAATCATAGAATGGTTTGGGTTTGAAGGGACCTTAAAGACCATCTAGTTCCAACCCCCCTGCCATGGGCAGGGACACCTTCCACTAGACCAGGTTGCTCAAAGCCTCATCCAGCCTGGCCTTGAACACTCCCAGGGATGGGGCATCCACATCTTCTCTGGGCAACCTGTTCCAGTGCCTCACCACCCTCTCCATGAAGAACTTCTTCATGATAACTAATCTAATCCTCCCCACTATCAATTTAAACCCATTACCCCTTGTCCTGTCCCTTGTAAAAAGTCGTCTCCCAGCACCCTTGTAGGCCCCTTCAGGTACGGGAAAGCTGCAATGAGGTCTCCTCGGAGCCTCCTCTTCTCCAGGCTGAACAAGCCCAACTCTCTCAGCCTTTCGTCATAGCAGAGGTGCTCCAGCCCTCTGAGCATCTTCGTGGCCTCCTCTGGACTCGCTCCAAGTGGTCAATATCCTTCTGATGTTGAGGGCTCCACAGCTGGACGCAGTACTCCAGGTGGGGTCTCACCAGAGCAGAGTGGAGGGGCAGAATCCCCTCCCTCGACCTGCTGGCCACACTTCTCTGGATACTGCCCAGGTTAGCATTTAGATACTCTCAATCCCTCTGTTACTCTCTAGTCATATAGATTACTGAGATCATTTAAATACTGAGCATATGCACTTCTGTTTAAAAGGCAGTGCCCATTTGTCATCATTTATCACTGAATTATACCATTGAAATAATGACTCCCATGAGACAGAAATATTGACATTATTGATTAAGATTAATTTCATCATGAGACTTGTGTGGAGCTTTGAGTTGATGCTATGGGGTGCTGACATTCTCCTAAGAGGAGTTTGGGTTACCACTAATCTCATAAATGTCACAAAGAGTTGAGAACACCCAGTACCTTGCAGGTTTAGACTCGTTATAACCACATAAATCACTTACACCCCTGCAAACACTTGAAAGTTAACTTATTATTCATAAATAGACTAAAAGTAAGTAATAAATGGTAGAGCAGGTCATTGTACTTATTTGCAAATTCTTTTCCATGTAGTCCCTTTCTGGCTCTGATCTTACTGATTTTGTACACAAGAATATTCCTTTATTTCTACAGGACAACCTCAGTTGTTGAAGGAATACTGTATTGAAAGAAAGTATTATGATATTTAAGGTCCCTTCCAACCCAAACCATTCTATGATTCCATGATTATGTTTATTTATGCCAAATAAGAAAGCAAATAAATCTTTCAAATCATTCTCTCAGAGCAACGAGTTCATGCAGAAGAATTTTAACATAAAAATAATTTTGATGTTTGTCAGGTGTTTACACCCTCTTTAAAACTTACTTATACATGTATCAGTTATGAGAACTTGTAGTGAGTCTTGCCTTGACTTCATGCAGGCACATTCAAGCAAGGTATGTTCAGAGACCACACAAAGACTGGATGCTACCTGCTGATCTATTTTAGATATGGTTCTCTGTTACACTCCACATTCTTTAGTATCATCTTCTGCTGTACTAGTAACATCTTTGTCTGTATTGTGTAAAAATCACCTCCAGTTGATGGAGCCTTATTTAGCCATTGCATGTTTCCATCAAACAGATGTTTCTCCTAGCTTAAGGCAGGCATAAGACCCCTTTTTACCTTAACCTTTTAATTTTCATGTGATAAGACAGCAACCTCTTCCCCCAAAAAGGAAACAAGAAATTAATATCTTAACCTCTGGAGCAAATGAAAAACCTGCATTGCCCTTCCCTTCAGGGAATCTGTATTTTATGAGAAGTTGTCATGGTTTAGCCCCAGTAAGCAACCAAGTACCACACAACCGCTCACTCATCTCTTCCCCTCCCCCAGTAGGATTAGTTTGGGATTTCATTTACAATGAACTGAAAAATGACAGTCATAGCAACATGATTCTGTCCATGGCTAAGCTAGTCCTATTTGAAATCTTTGCTTGTAAAAGCTAAATCTAAAGTTAGAAATAACGGTTGTCTCGCAAAACCTTTATGAATGTAGGAACAGGTTAACTTCCCATGTGATAGTGTCAGTACTAATTTCTAGAAAATATTTTATTTTCTTCATATGTGTATTAAAGGAACTATAAAAACAATTCTAACCTATTGTCTTTCAAATATTTTGTTCATTGCGTGACCTAAACTGAAAATGTAAGAGGTTGTTATCTCTGCCTTCTGAGAAAAGTGAGCGAATTCTGGAGGGCTTTGTTTGTCTCTGTGCCATGCTTGAAATAAAGATACAAGTTTTTCATAAGGTCATTTTATGCCAACTAGCTTTTTAATATGCACTATATCAAACCTCAAAGTACATTTGTCTGTATATTTTATTACACACTATATTGAATCTATAAGGTATTTTATTGAGTTCATTATGTTTCATATTCATCCCATTATGCTTTATTGAGTTCAACGTAATCTTTAACCTATAATGCACTTTCATTTTATTTGGTACATTGGATCGTTTTCCCCTTATTTTTTTGACCATGATTACTCATATGCTTTTTTCATGCGACTGTAATGTTATTACATTATAAAAGGGTTTGACAGAAGGTGTTTATCAGCATTTTCATTTTTTTAGTCAGTTTTTTAGGAGCCTATAAATTGGCTTGAGTTTAGCATAAAATGTCTACCAAGGGATTCTGGGCACCAGTATTTTAAACCCTGGTCATTTCAAATATTCAGTAAAAAGGATTTGTGTCACTCATATATTTCTGAAAATAGAATCTATTCACATCAACAACCAATCTTGAAAGATTTTATACTAATTCACACTTTTATTGCCATGTTTAAGGACTTTATAATTTAACACCATTAAAATCAGGACTTTAAATCTCAGCAAAGCTCCTGTGAGTTGTCTTATCCTCATGGACTGGAAGTGAGCAACAGTGGTAACTTCTGCTCAAGAGTCTTCAGTTTAGCATTTATAGTAGGAGCTAACAGGGGCCTGACTGTCTTCCTGCACCGAGCCGTAACACTGATTTTCTCCAGTAATTTGTCTCCTTAGTGCGAAAATAAGAACAACTTTGTTTCCCAGCTAATGCTGTTCTTAGCCATGCCAAATGCTTGGGGATATGAGTGAAGAAAAAGGGATTTAACATGTGGGAATCATTACTATTCATCTATAAAAACATTGAATGATAAATGTTTCTTTTTCTTTTCTTTCAGATTATTACTTTAAGAGATTACATTCCCAAAATCATTGGCCCAGATGCTTTTAATCTGTATATTGGCCTTTATACAGGTTATGATCCCACAATGAATCCTACGGTTTCTAACATATTTTCAACAGCTGCTTTTCGTTTTGGTCATGCAACAATCCAACCAATAGTAAGACGATTGAATGCACAGTATTTAGAAGATCCAGAACTCCCAAATCTTCATTTGCATGAAGTATTCTTCAGTCCCTGGCGTATCATTAAAGAAGGTATTGTTTCTTTCCTGCATATTACAACTCTTTTCAAAGTTACGCATCTTGAATTAGGAATAGGAACATTTATTAAATTGCATCATCACTGATTTAAGTTGTTAAACAGGTTCCAGAGCATTAACATAGAATCATAGAATCATTTAGGTTGGAAAAGACTTTTAAGATCATCAACTCCAACCGTTAACCTAGCACTGCCAAGTCCACCCCTATACCCTGTCCCTAAGCACCACAGCTACATGTCTCTCAAATATCTTCAGGGATGGTGACTCAATGAACTGGAAAAATTATTCTGAATTACATAGTTTTCTGAATCAGACACAAGTTATTTTCTAGATTAAACCAATCTGGTAGATTGATGATAGATTGATGATTGATGATGAAGATATAAAATGTATCTTTTTTGTGGATGAATATATTATCAAGCTGCAAATTTTCTTACACCTGAAGAAGCAGACGGAGCCTTTTCATTGCACTATTATGTATATTTAAACCTGCTTCTCATTTTTGCTTATGTTTGAATGTAAAAGCCTGTGGCCAATGTTTAACAAAAATAGAAACATACATGCATTCACATTTGTTAGGAAAGTTATGATGGTTTATATATATGCTGTAACGTTATATTACTTTTGCATTTAAAGGAGGCTTGGATCCTTTACTAAGGGGTCTTCTAGCACATTCAGCAAAACTGCAGGTGCAAGATCAACTACTGAATGAAGAATTAACAGAAAAACTGTTTGTGTTGTCCAATAATGGTTCACTTGATTTAGCATCGTTAAATTTACAGCGGGGCCGCGATCATGGACTCCCAGGTCTATTGATTTTTCTTGAATTTTCTCCCAACTAGTAACTGAGCTATAACTGCTTATATTTGGGATGTAATCATAAACCTTTAAATAATAGCTTTAGTAATCAGAGAAGTAGCTTAAGTCTCTTTAAATGTATAGAATCA